CAACCGTTTCACTACTCTGGGTTGTGTGGGCTGTGGCTGTAGTTGTTGGAAGCGGGCTTGATGTTCCATTGGTTGATGCAGGTTGAGCTGTTGTAGAACTGGGATTGCCGCTGGTTTCATTTTTTATTGGCTCAACCGTTTTCATCGTAGGCAGATTTACAGTTTCATTTGTAGAATCTGGTCGATCTGTAGTGTGAACTTGGTTGCCATTGGTAGCATTTGTTTTTGGTTCACCTGTAGACATAGAATGAAAGGCTTGAATTTTTTTGCTTTTTTTCCTGCTGCTTTAGTGAAACCCTGCTTTTCGCTTGCATTTACTAGTCTTCACAATGCGACCTCCAGTACTTGTTACTTTAGGATTTAACATTTTCAGCGCATGCATTTGTTTATTGAGGTCTTTAAATCATTTGTTTAAAGTTTTGTTTTAAAGCAACACAGAAAGTAAAGTCATTTTTACCTTTGCACCATCCATTATGGATAGAAATGTCATCTATAGCCACTTCAGTTTGCCCACCAATTCCACTTTGCCCCTCAAAAATCATCTTGTGTCAGAAGATTATATAGTCATTAAATTACATTCCATAACATCTTTTTTTAGTCAATATAACATTAACATGCAATTCTATAAAGTACTTTAAAGATGCAAAATATTACCTGGAATGCTTGAGATGTAACCATGTCCACTTGAGCAAGGTGCCACATGTTTCCTTGATCATTTGTTTTTTTCCATATTGTATCAATTTTTTTATCTTGAAGCAGATATACACTGATCCCCAGAGTTTTATAAGAGCCAGCTATGTAGTACCTAAACTGCAGACAATGTGGTCCAGTGTGATAACATTTAGGGCTGATGAGGTGAGCTGCATCTCCATATGTCACTCTGTTGGCTTTGATGGATAGGTAGTGGTCACCTGAATAGAAGAGTTAAATGTTTAAGCATGCCTAGAATATATTGGTCAAATGCATTTTAACTGCATGCATTATGGGCTTGGTAAAGGAAAATTTTAACACTAGAAAGGGTTTAGAAAAAAAAAATTAGTTAACTCGTTACTGTGGCTGATAGTTAACATTTCATACAGTGAAAAATACCTTTTATTGAAGGACTTGTATTGTTGGAAGTTGAAGCATTATGCCTTTCCCAGTCAAACACATCAGTGAACAGATGATTCCATTCACATAAATCCTGCTCAAAGTCACAGTCAAACTGGCATTCTGATTGGGGGGGTAGAGAGAGAAAGTCCTTGAGATTAGAGCTGGGACAATTACAGTACATTGATGGAGTGTTAATTATGCAAGTTTTAGTGTAATGATTAGTTCATACCACTCAGTACTGGAGCTTGGGAGGTCCCATTGAGAGCGGGCGGCACAGCCGTCTGGGAGGTCCCATTGAGAGCGGGCGGCACAGCCGTCGGGGAGGTCCCA